CCGTTCCGAGATAAATTGGTTCACGTTTATGGTTGTAGTATCGTGAATTAGAAAAAAAAAATAATCTCAGGGATGAAGTACATCCGCGTCTTGTGGAGCCACAAAACGAGAATTTGTAGAATTCTTCCTGTTTGATCCGAGCATTCGCAGTAATTCAAATGCCCTTTCGTACTTCATCATGAAGATTTACAAAATTTAGACCAAGATTTATGATGCAGTTGAAAAACAGAAGGGAATTAAATCCAGTGGCGTGAAGCTACTGACTATTTCAAACATAACATTCATCTCATTCAACTATTTATTAATTTCGTAATTTATCGAGCAAATTAATGCATTCTTAAATAAGAATCGAAACGGAAGCTCGAATAATTTGAATAGGTTATTCATTTCGTGTGGAAATAAATCATTTTCTCCCCGCAGTAAAATAATTATTTATAGTAGGCAATATTATCGTCATTTTTCTCGCAATTCGTGTCATGAAACTGATCTCCCCAATAAACTCATTAGCCTACGTGCACCGAGGGACATTAATACCTGAACCGTTCTCTCTGCTGTTGTCCAAAAGGTCGCATACCATTGAAATGTTAAAGAACAAGAGTCAGAGACTCGTTTTACGTTCGTACCAGACCCACGCACTATTTACGATGCCATTCCCTTTCCCCGGAGCCATCGGATACTCATCTACACGGTTTCCTACTCGTCTCAGATGACTCTCCCTGTAATATTCTGTCCTTCGGCCATTAATTCGGTGAACTTTTATGTTTTTTCCTCCGGCATTAATGAGACTCCTCGCATCCTACGGGTATTCTCGGAGGAATACTTGACTTTTGTCACAGAACCGAAACAAAAACCCTCAATTCCATACGAACGTTTTTTAAAACTCGAAGTATAATTTAAATTCTTCTCTGTAACATTTGTTACAACTGAATATACAAATAGGAATGGATCGTGGTCGATGCCCAAATGCTGTCTCCATGACGAAAAATATATCAATAAATATTTCTGCATTTACAATTCACCGGGGTAATTGGTGTCTGGCAACCGGTGAATAAATTGCGGAGCAGAATTACTCATTAGTGGAGCGAAATTTATTCGTTTATTCTGTGTTTTCTGTTTGTACACATAGAGCGTTCTCCGTAATATCCAAAATGTGGGAAGTGGGTCGAAGTTATGAATATGGATTATGTCATCAATTGAGACTGAATCCATCGCGAGGGAACGCCGGAGATGTGGCGTTAATGAAACGTGCGGTTGCGTGTCAATGGAGTTTGCATTCGCACGATGAGAAAATTTTGATAAAAATTATCCGAAAAAAAGACATTGAACATTACGGAACGCAATCCTCAAGTCATTCTATGAAATGTTCTTCGTGGTAGATTGTGCAAACTATTCCACAATTTTTGATGGATTTTTTCCGTTTTCCTTGAATGTGTGAAGAACCAGAGAGAAAAGGCAAAAAATCTTATCAGCTGTATTCTCCGATGCTCGTGACTGAATTTCCATGAATCGTTTACTCGGGTAGATGAATTTGTGTGGATGATTTAGAGAGTCATATTTCATACGGTGCGATGAAAGTGAAGAACCGAAATCGATTTTTCCCAGCGAAATTGATATTTCGTACTTATTGAGAATGATTATTTCTCAAGATTCTCCGGCTCTGCTCCTCTCCTTTCCTCGGTCCAGTCGCTGTTGATCCGATCCACGTAATTGAATTTTCTTCCAAAATACCCCCAGGTATATCAACTCGCACGGACCTTGGCGAGAGGCCCTCCGCCGAGTTAAATTTTTATTAAAATTGTTTCGTTTTCATCCCCCACCACCGCGCCATCCGCCAATCACAAATTTTTGGTTTGTATACCCCCACCACCGAGTTTTCCGCCAATCACAAATTTGTGCAGTTGATCCCTCACCACCGAGTTTTCCGCCAATCACAAATTTGCGCATTTGATCCCCCACCACCGAGTTTTCCGCCAATCACGAATTCCTGCATCTCAACTGTTGTCTACAAATGAGACTGCAGTACTGGACAAATTTCAGTCTTCGGCAAACTTCGGACATCGACACATTAATTGCGATGGGGGAGAATAGCTTCGTGGTTTCAACAAAACTAAGATTTCTCCTGGACGATTTTACAACCCAGTTCCTGAACAATCGAAGAGATGGCGGTGTCTATAAAAGGGATTTCCAAAACGACTTCTTCAATCGAATACAAAGACGTGTTCATGTGAAAAACACGAGGCGATTCTTTTTTATGGTCATCCTGATGGAAATGAAGATATTTGATAATGAGCAACTCGAAAAAATGCTGAAGGCCATTTTTTGGGAGAAATTTCGTCAGGTAGAGGTAGGCCTATCGAGATTTTATCTTACAACGACTTGTCCTCATGATAAACGCGCCATTAACACGACTGTTAATCTGATTGATCACCTGTTTCCACTTGACTCCGGAGTTACATCTTCAATGGAGTTGAGAGATGCAATTCTCGAGAATTTATTTTAGTGTTTTGTACATTGTTGGAATTATTTCTGGAATTTCGGGACGGCCGACCTTGAATTTTTAACGACAAATTGACAAGGATCTTATCTATCTTTTGTTCCTGAAAAGAATCAGGCAACGCCGTGAATATTTAATGACTTCCCCATTATTCGGTTCGACGAGAAATTATTTAGAAAAATTCTCACGTTAAAATAAAATATCGCGTGTAGAAATTCGTAATCACCGTCCTAAAAATGATTTTCAACTCGCTACGGAAATCTCTTTTAATTGACTGTTAGAATGTTTTGAAAGATAATATGAAAACATTTACGAATGAATCTACAAGAGATTTCAGTGGCATTTAATCCCAAAACAACTCTGACAGACCGTCCCGGAAGGTTTGTTTACCCAGTCTAGAGTCGAGATATTCTATCAGCGGAAGGTGAGCCAAAAAGACGTGAAACTTTGTGAAAAAAGAAAAACCCAAAGGTTACCGAAGCCGCACGCTGAAAACTTTTCTTTTCCCTTGGGGATTTTAACGACATTTCTGTGACAGAAACCCTCCCCCACCCTCCGAGAATTGATTCCCATTCGAGCTCGAACGAATGTGGGAAAGATCTTTAGGAAACGAAAATGAATGTTTGTGTTTCCTGAAACGTATACCCTTATTAACTTCACTACAAGAAAATATTTCCCGATGTAGAAAGAGATTCCTAAACTTCAGATAATTTCACTCCCATAAGTAATAATTTAGTTCAAGAATTTCATCACAATGAAAATGATCCACTCTAGAGAAAAAGGAGAAAGAATTAATTTTTCCTCCGATAAAAAATTATTCTCCCCAAATTGTTCCTTCACTCCTATTCATTTTCGGGTAAATTCTGTCGAGTACATCCATCTCTCAAGTTAAACGTAGTTTATTTAACGAGATCCATTGTATGTTGGCACGACGAGAGTGCAGTAGACCCCGGGAAGAGGAGGATGACAGTTTGTAAATGAAAGGTGTCACATACGGTTGCATACAAGGATAGAAGCAAACTGTACGTGACCCATGAGAGTAATAATCCGTAACACGGGGCCTCGGTGTACCAGTCAAATGGCCCGCACCCACTTACACCCCGGAGTTCCCGCGGAGTTGTACCTCCAGTATTATATATCGAGAACATTGAAATTGTCCCGAAGTGGACTAACGACTGCCACCATATGGCCAAAAACCATTGACGGTTCTCGTTGGCTTCTCTATTCTTCGGCTTTCTCCCCTATAGTTAGAACCCTACCGCTGTCTAACCGGTGATTTATATACCACCTGATTGGCTACTTTTGAATTGAGTCGATCGATGCTACTAATTGATTCACTGAGCGATCTTTTATTTTTATCATTATTATAAAAATATTCCGATCAGTTTGGAATTAAAAAAAAAATTAATCAATGATTCGTCGAATCTACACAGCCGGGATTTGTACTCGAAATTTAACGCAATTGTAAGAGTACTGTCAGTAAACTGACAAATAATCCTATTGTTTTCAGACATTTCTACGACTTGAGCAATGGATCAACTTCTGAGAGTTTTAGAAGCATCACCGTCGGCCTTTGTCATCAGCACACAACCTGGTGCTATTCTCGCCCATGGGGGCTCACTACTTTTTCCTAACGTGCCTCCTCTCCCGCGACAACCACCTCCGGTGCAACGATAAAGCATGACCTCTGGGTGAAAGAGCATGGACCAAGTCCAGCATACAAAGTGACTCTGGTTCGTGTGCACGGCTACCTCTTGGGTGTCTCCAGAGAACTATTTTTTTTCTCCTAACATTCTCCTCGTTGACTAAACGCTCTATATTCTACGGTTCTTACTCCGGGAGAATTTAACATTTCTATTAACAACATTCTTCATCCCCTCGGTATTCCGTAAAAGCATTTCGGCAAGCTGAAAATTTGATGATTCTGAAATTTCGGATAAAAAAATTTGCCATTCTCAATGATAAATTCAATTTTCGGTTTATCTATATTTTTCGGATTGAAATGATAATGCAAATTATCCAACATATTCATTCATAACATCTCCAAAAATTTCCATTATATTCATATTTCTTAATTGCTCAAAACAAATCAAACCTCCCATAATCACCAACACAATACTACCAATTTTCCAAACCATCCCCGAAAGTTAAAATGCTCAAAAAATCCGCCAGGGGATATCATTAATTTATTCCCCAAACGCTTGAGAATTGTCTCTAAAACTCCCGGTAAAGCTGTTGCTCATAAATTATCTCCCGCCTAAAACCTCGTGAATAGCACCGAAGAAACGTAAATCTCTGTAACCATAAACCAATCCCTCAAAAATCCGTCTATACCCTGACCTGTCCCCCGCCAAACACTTGCCACCACTGACTAGACATCGAGAGTGACAAACAAGTGTCTTACTCCATAATACAGTGGTTGAACCCGAAAATTGCAGCCGGTGAAAAAAAGAGCGCGGAGAGGGGGAGCGCGCGCCGATTGGCTGCTGGAGGTGGAGTGGGGACGTGCAGTCGTTCGTTCGCGCAGTGCCGAGTGCGTTGTGTTAGTCGAGCCGTGGGCCGCGTCGCGGTAACATAGTGTTGCACTGACAGTCCATCGTTCGTGTCAGATAACTCGTGTGCATTACACAGTAAACAATCACCCAATAAACTAACCAAATACTCCGTCATCTCCACTACAAGACGCGGTCAAATTTCCCTCAAAAAATTTATTGATTAATCCATCCATTTGCAGTGTGAAAATATCAATTCTTAATGTTCTTTAACGGACTTATGACTCTCGGACTTTGTGACAGTGATTTGAAACGCTCGGATTAAGTAGTGAAGTACTGTTTAACGAAGTGACTCAGTGTAAATCAGTGGAAAAAAAAGTTTTCGCAAAAATATTCAACCGCGCACGCGTTGTCCCGCGTCCGCGTGGTACACCAGAGTGTAACGTACGCGCGGGTTTGTGAGAATTTCAGGGTCGAGTGGCTCGCGGGCCGGCGACGAGGTTGGATTCCTCGGTAAAAGTACTTGACTAAAAAATAGTTAACGATAAAAGTGACGAGAGGAATGAAACATTAAAAGCCGGGGTAAATTAAAAATCACGTAAAAAAGGATCAATTGGGGGGTTCGGGTGAATCTTTCGATTGTGACTCGATGAGATAAAAATCTGGTTTACCGGCGACTGCTTTCCTCTCGAAAGAGGTATACAAGGGAGTGAGAGGGAAGAACCTGAGACGGGGAAAAGAATAAAGAGGGCAGAGCGGTGCATAACCCGCCCGCGCGTTTCGTGAAAAAAAAAAGTTTAAAAAAAAGGCACGTGAGAGGAGGTAGAACTCTGTCCAGGACTTGAAGAGGGAGATAGTGTGTTGAAGTGAGACGAGGGGAGCAACGAGGCCTCCAAGGTCGCCTGGATCCGTACAAGAGCTCTCGGTGATTTCTTTTTTTCCTTTTTTTTCACCGTTTTTCTCGGTGTATCCTTCCCTCTTTCCTTTTCAATCTGCTTGCCCTCCCCCGCTGGCATCGAAAGGAAAGAGAATCCGGGGCTTTGGGACAACTGTCTTCCGCCCATCGAATCTTCCAACGTGAAATCCATTGGGTAGATTTTTCACTGTTAATAGTCTCCATTTTTCACGGAATTTCTAATTCTGCCGGGTTAACGTGGCAATTTTGTGATAATTGTGATCGTAGTGATGGTTTTCACCATTGTGTCGTGTGTTTAATGTGTACAAGTGATATTCGAAGGGATATAAAAGTCGAAGGATTTCGTAAAAACGTCTACCCTCGGGGGATATTTTATTTGTGCCCCCCTTTCCTTAGTCCGCACTGAAATCTTCCCCGAGATCGAGGAGAAAGATATCGTTATCGGGAGTGTAACTGGCTAAAAGGGAGAAAGAGCAAATAGAGGAATAAGTGAGTAAAAATTTTCTCGGGAGATCAATATTTGAGGCACTTAATAGAGATATTTGAGATGACGCGTCTCGTGGATTTTGGACTCGGTGATCAGTGAGTTAGTGATTTTGACTGGATATTTGAATTGAAATTCGATTGAACAAAGATGACAATTGCTAGTAATATCGTTGTCGAGTGGCTTCGATCGCTCCACCTCGGCCAATACTCGGAATCATTCATCGATAATGGATACGATGATTTGGAGATATGCAAGCAAATTGGGGACCCTGATTTGGATGCTATCGGTGTGTTCAATCAGAATCATCGGGCCCGATTACTCCAGTCTGTCAAGACCCTCAGGGAGGAAGGGGCTGCCAGTGTTTACTTTACCCTCGAGGAGACAAATGACTGTTTGTGTGATAATGTTAGTTCAAAATCATCGAGAACATCGTCGGAGAGGCCACCGAGTGATAAGGAGGCGCAGAGAGCATCACCAACAGCTAGCTCCTCCAGTGGAGGTCAGGAATTGACCAAATTTGCTGATGAGTACGAGGAGGGGAAAGCTGAACTCGTCAGAATACCCAGGATGCAGCTCAAAATGCTGCTGCAGGAGAAACTTCGACATGATGGCATCCGGCTCGCCTGTCAACCGTATACAACACCGGTGAGTTTTCATTATATTTGACATTAATCTTTCACCTGTAGGTCAATGTTTTGAGGGTTTATTGCTCATAATTCGCCTCTTCTCCAACCTCTGAGGAAATCTATTCTGGAATAAATTGCGAGATTCCACGGGGAATCAAAACCCATCTCCCCCGCATGTCACTCTGTTAGTCCTCCAATCAAGCTATTTAGGGTTTTCGTCGAAGGGTTAATTCCAAGATCAGATCGGTCTTTAAATGAGATTTTTGGGTGAAATACGAAGAGTCTTCAACGTTTTTCCTTATGTTCTGATAAATTGATTGCGTCGTGAAAGAAAATGGGTTGTTTCGTAGAATTCTCGTCATTTTTTTGAACGAACAATACCCAAATGGTTCTCGCTTTATCACAAACTCTCTTAATTGGAAGGATCCACGAAACTCTAATAATCGCGAAGCGAAAGGCATTGTTGAAGAAGAAAAACCATTGAAACGAGATATTAATGACTAGTCAGGCAATGTGACTCACGATAGCCATTGAGATTACCTGGAATCATCGAGGGCCCATGATGTACCCTCCCTGTGTCCCTGGAATATAATCTCCATTATGTAGATAATGAAACATTGGCTACCACTAGTGCGTATTCCTCCGGTACACGCGGGTAGATTCTCCAAGAAATTAAGATAATGCGGAATGCTGGTAGACACGCCCACACCAGACGAGATAAACGGCTGATTCATTATTTCGTTACGTACCGGGAAGCTTTGTGTTAGTGCCCTTCAGATAAAGAGCATGCGATGCAGTACGTTATCGTTTCCGGGTTTTCTTCAATTTTTTTCGGAACTCCCTTGCACTCCCGGAAAATTACTGAAATTTATTGCAATTCCGCGCAGAGAAAACGTTTCTTCGTGATGGAAAATCCATCTTCATATTAAATATGATATTTTTCTAACATCGATAAACTTGTTTTCTCTTTCGTAGAATTTTCGTGAAAAAATCCAAATTAGTATTCCGTTTTATAAAATTGATTTTCAATTATCAATGATTTTTTTGATAAATTGTAAACGCTGAGCTACTTGAAGTTGAATTGAAATTCCTCGTATTAAAAATTCAGATCCGACTGATATAAAATAAAAAAAAAAATTTGAGGTATGGGGATGAATTTTTATGTTCCGAAATTGGAGACTGAAAATGTGATGAATGTTTTCATGTGAGGAGGTTGCACTTGGTGGAATTTCCTCGAGTCTCAAATGAAATTCCTCGCCAACATATAAGTTGGGATCGAACAGGTGGATAGACGTGTAGAAATTACATTTAAGCTCTAAACTTATTTACGCGCGTGTCAGAGTCTGATGACATCAGCTATCAAGGGTATGGAGGGATATATTTATGGACCTCTGAGCGGGTTACAGAACTGACATGTACACATACTCCGGTTTTTTTTTGTTCGCACTGGATTAAGCATGGAGTCAGCAGTGTACGTGGAATATCGAGTTTTTGTGTTTATTTGTGATATTGGATATGTGCCAGTCCAGTCGACTAGTCGACATTTTTAATAACTTCAGTTAATGCATTAGAATTCCATTTAATTTTACATTTTCCTAATTGCATCGTGATAAAATTCATTCCCTCACTTCAAATATAAAACGACATTCCTTCAACAATCTAATATTGATACGCAATTGATCTGAATTTTGGTACCGAGGAATAATTCAACTTTTTAATTATTCTAGACAATTCTATCTCGACAGACAATTACTGGGAGAGTACCTAATATTTCCCAAGTTATCATAAAATTCAACATTAAGCAATTTTAAATATTTAATGCTAACACAATTTACCTCCACTAAATCCCAATAACTCCGCGTATCCGGTGGAAGTACTCGGTAACTTCTCCAGTAAATTCATTCAACCGGATATCAAATGAATCAGTGTCAGTTGTAAATCAGGAAACACCTACGGTTTTTGTGAGCTGGACGATCATTTCCTTTTTTTTTCTCCCCTCAGTACACCGCTATGGGAAATAAGAAAAATGAATTTGTAGTCGTTAGCGGAGGAATCCACGAATAATATATGTCTGTTTTGTTGAAATACGCATCGGTGGATGGCGTGTGCATATATATGGTATATGGGCACGCGAGTCTACACGAAAGAGGGTAAACTCGAAGAAATGAGAGATGGAGAGAGAGAAAGTGAATGAGAATATGAGAAAAGTAAAGTGGTTCTTCAGTTAACGGGGATGAGGGAAAGAGGGGAGAGGAAAAAAAACTAATGATGAGAAATCCTGTTTTCTCTATTGCGAATCACGGTGGTCCAGTCAATCAGGTCTTTGATTATTTTTATCGCGTGCGTGGGTGAACACTTGGGTACAACTTGAACGCACGTCGTTACCTCAGCTTCCAATCGGCAGATGTCTTTACATTTTTATTCCCATTTTTACTCACATTTATTTACCTCGTGATTCTTGTTCTCATGTCCTGTTGCCAGTTGTAGATTGAATTTATTAGAAGAGAATAATTCTCTTTTTTGACATTCCGGTTATCGGACCGATGGGGATTGATTGATGGCTCGATGCTCCCTGATTTATGGTCAACATCGCGGGAGTTCCGCGCATTTCATTTATTGAATTTTACTCCCTTTCGTTTGGCTAAATCCTCAGGGAGTGGATTATATTATTCAATTATTTCTAACGCAGTGTAATTGACAGACTTGAAATAATTCTCGGTCATTTTCATCTTGATTTAATTCTTCGAGTTGATATGTGAGTCATAAATTGTTATCTTCGAGAAGAAATGTCTCAATTCGAAATTTTCTTAATTGAAACTCAGAATTAGATATGAAATAACTTGAACCTTCTAATTTAAATCGATTTCGTCCGCTTGAATCCCACCGTTTTTTTGGAGGTAATCGATGATTGAAAATCGCGACAACATGTTCCGCTGATTCCATTCCCATGTTTTTATTCAACTCCATGGAATACACCAGCCGGTGAAGTTTATAGTGTCGAAGCCCAGAAGAAGAACTCGACGGATACACACACGGTGCACGTCAATATTTTCGTACGACCCGTCCACTCTCGAGTGTGTACATACATTTTCAACGGCTGTGCGTCCTCTGTCTAGGCAATATATGAACAGAGCGTAATAGCAAAACAGGTAGAAAAGGGAGGAGAAGGGGAAAAAAACATATTCACGTGCAATGTCGAAATAAAATGGTAGAAGTCGGATAAATAAATAAAAATGAAAATCCCATGGTATGGCGCGGGGTAGTTTCGGCGTTATTAAAGTGTCGTACAACGTCCACGGGGCGAAAACTTGGTATTTATTGGTTCAATTTCGTACGGTTGGAGGTTGTAGGTGGATATAACATTGGAACTGAAACGTATACACTAGGGTGAGGAGGTCTGATTTGTTCGGTGCCTCCCAGAACACTCGTATCGTGCCAATCAACATTCTCAGTGTAGGATTCGAAGTACGTGGCCAATTACAACCATCACGTTTATTTGATATAATCTAACTGGCTATACCCTTGATCCCTTCATATCGACAGGACTTAATTGCACGGGGAGAGAGAAATCATTTATTTTCCGGGGAAAATATCGAGACTCTGTTGAGACAAAAATGAAAATTTTTGACCCAAAAGAAGGGCTGATATAATTGAAAATGGCAAAATAACGTGATAGTATATATCGACGTGAATCAAGCGACGACGAATGGACAAAAATGGCGACACGAGTCTGCGGTTTATCCCCCAGTTGATGATTTTTTTTTTCCTTCTCAGTTGGATCATATCCTTGGGTTACAACTATAGGCAGCGTCGGGTAATAGCGTTTAAATATTTGAGTGAATGTTCAATCGATATCCCGCGGCCGCCTGTCTCGCATTCCCTTTTTCCTTTTCCCCCTCGTGTCTTTTTCTCCAAACTCTTCTCTCCTTTATCACCCTTCTTTCTCCATTGTCTGCGTGGTGTATGCCTGTGTGCAAGCTTTTCCATGAAATATCAAACACCAGTGCGAAATGAGATTGTCTTACTTCGGGTGAAACTCAAATTACTGGGGTAGAGTTATGGAAGTGCATGAAAAAATTGTGAACTTCACGCAGGTGTTTTCGCTCACAATTGTTGGGGAAGTGTAAAAACATTTCTCATTTATTATCTTCACTGAATAGCTAGGTTTTGATAGATAAGAATTAACCAATTATTTTTTCTCGCTATTAAGCAAAATGTACGTATGGGCAAAACAGGTCGTTCTTGATATTCCTAAATCATTAGCTCTTCCAGTATAATTGTAATACAATTATAAATCATCCTTAAGATCTACTGAATCATGGGCGTAAAGTAGGAAAGACTGTCGGATGGAAAATAAAAATCAGATGGATTTCATTGGACACGCGACTTGAAAAACGATTTACAATCCCGATACCTGGCTTCAGCCTTCGTTAAATACACTGACTCACTTTAATCGTCAAGTGGAAACCCGTGCTTCCCCTTCTGGTTTTCCCGTGCCCACGAGTCTTTTCCATTAATAATTTCGAGCACTCGTAGCTGTAGAGATAAGAATTTTTCAGTCAAAGGGAAGAGACAGAAGGAACGGGATTGAATGTCGTCCCTCAGCATATCTCCTAACCTAGTTTATCCTTTGGACTCAGTGATTGTTCGCTCATTTCTTAGATTTTCCCATATTGCGTCGTCCTAGGTGCTACCTCTCTGTCGACGATGATTTTTCGATTCGATAAGTGTTTCATCTGTCACGAAGATCATTAGTCAATGTGTAAAGCCTTATCGATCCTCAAGGCGTTGAGAGGAATTTAAAATTCCTCTTTCACTTTCTCCCATGTTCAGACAGAGTTGTCGCTTCTGTTTTTTTTTTCTTGGAACGATTCTTTCATGCCAATGGGCGCGTAGAAAAATTGTGTCTAACTGTCCGGGGATTTCTCTTAGAAAGACGAAAAATTTTCTGCGCGGGTGAATCTTAAATCAAGTCAACAACAAAACAAAACAATAAGTAAGATTGAGGGATATATTTTT